CTCTTAGCACTCTAGGATGCACCATGTCAGGTCCAGGACTCTTATGGACCTTTAGCCTGGACAGTTTATTTCTAATACCCTCTTCTGTGAACACAATGTGGGTCAGTGCTGTGTCGAACCGTCTGTCCTCAAACGCAGGAAGGTTAGTTGCATCCTCTCTTGTGAACACTGAGGAAAAGAAGCTGTTCAATGCCTCAGCTTTATCCTGGTCAGAATCTGCGTAACTACCATCTTCAAGAAGTTATAGGACTACGTATCTCTCATTTGACTGTGGCAACTATCGTACAGTTTGCCTTCACACAGTTCCCACAGAATAGTTGTTTGGGCATCCTATTTTCGTACATGCGGGCCACATGGCCCATACAGCATAACTGTGCTTGATGACAAGCACTTCGGTGCAAGTACACTCGCTCCAAAAAGTATCTTTATGATTTTGTGTGAGACAATATGACACAACGGACGAAGAATTTTGACAACCTTACCGAGACATCAAGTGGAATTAAAAAAAAAATCACGTATCTGTTGTTGATACGGAAACTTTTGCATTTCACATGCTATTTTAGTCCACCATTGTTGTTCTTCATTTCCCGAAGTTTGAACTTGAGCATTGCTCTCTGCTGACGGACAGAAGCATACACGCACATATGATCCAGTTTAATGAGTAACCAATTAATGAAAATTCGGTATAATGGCCTTTGTTTAATTAAAAAAACTTCTATTAAGTTTAATGAATTTTGTTACAATTGAACCTTTTATAATTTATTGGCTCAATCAATACACAGAACTATTCAGTAAGCTCATATCTTAATTAGATTTCCTACTCATGATGTCTGAGAAGGAATAATAACAACCTAAGGTGGCTGGGGATTGGTTATTATTAATCTATGTTGTATAAGATTCCGAATGTCCTGTTTGACTTGTGTGCTCCTCTATACACACACACACACACACACACACATAGATGCCTGTAACCCATAAATTCCAATGTTTATACTAAATACTGCAACGTGTTTAGCTTCAAAATTAAAGAATACACGAGCAAAAAAGTTTCACTGTAAAAATAACTTAAATGCATAAGATGGGAAGAAGTGTATACAGTTGCCAGTGTCACATCAGTATTCAGGTTTGATATTATGTTTAGGTTTTGGAGATTAAAATTCTTTGGGCTGGAGTGTATCTTTGTTTATAGCAGAGTTCTTAGGTCTTTAGAAATGGGATCCTTTGGGAAATTAGGTCCCACTTAGGGAGAATTCATCTTAGAAACACTTTCAGCAACACACATCGCGCTAAGAACATATTAAAGAGATTGGAGGGAAATGGACAGCGTATATGAGTTTGGGTCTTACCTGCCATAGTATCATGGATTTCTTAACCAGAGGTGGTGTGTAGCCCACCACATGACCCATGGTCATGCCTTGGCAGTCAATCACAAGAACACATCCAGTTATGCACGCTTGTTCATCTTCCTCCATCATTACATCGCTTACCAAGAGGCTTGCCTTCGTTATGTCATCCACAGAAGCTTCTTGATGATCATAGGATCCCTAACGGCCTAGGACCACTTTACGTCCTAAGTGGTCATACCCGGGGAGGGGCAGGACCACACTGCAATACCACAGTCAGATTGGTAAGTTTCACTCCCCATTACTGACCTCTTTAAGCCACACCGATAATGAAAGATGTACTTAAAGTAAATATTGAATTTTCAGAACGAAAAAATGCTTTTGTCTCATTAACTTTTCAAGCAAACTTTACACAACCATTAACTAGATCTTACAAGATATAGTTTTAGAAAAAATCCATAAAAAATCTACATTACTTTGCACACCAGCAAAACTCCATCACCAAAGCATTACCTTCATTATCTGATGATCACAGATAAGAAGTATTATTACAACGAGAAGCACAGCAAAACCTTAGTACTAAAATAACAAGTTTATATATTTAATAACACTGCTACAATACCTTTCAGAAGAAAGGAAAGGAAGTGGCTCCCATAGGTCTGACAGCCCGTCAGGGATAGGGTGGCTACACCACTTGTATAATAAGCATTCATAATACAAAAGGTGGAAGCGTGGCCAGCGCTGCACTCAATCGCTTTTACTTCCCAGTCTTGAATAGTTTAGTTCCCATTTACAGCTGAGTGGACTCGGAGTGACCCAGGATTGAATTAGCGACCCCAAGGACAGCAGGTGGGCACTGTAGCCACTAGGAGCCACGGAACAAGGAAGCCTGGGCCCTTTAGTACAGCGAAGCCCCAAGGGAATGCGAGGTGCACTTGATGCAGCTCCTGCCTCACACTTTTTGGTTTCCACCCACACCTGCAGCCAGTGATCCCAGCTGCCCGAGGGACGAGGCCCTTGCACCTACCACCAGGTGTAATCTAATGTGTGAAGACACCTCTCCTGAATAACTCAGCGTAGTCCGCAAACATCTGTATTGCGGGACCTGGTTATCATTTACGAAGCAAACGAACAGCAACTGTCCCAGCACACTGCCCTGTGGGACCCCGCTTGTCACGAGTACACATGACAACTTTGTGCCATTAATCACCACACACCACTTGGGGGTCATGAAGAAAGTCATAGATCCACGCCGGGGAGTTCACCTGAATTCCGTACCCCACCAGTTTAATTATCATCCTTTCATGAGATACAGTTACCTCCATTTATAACAGATAATTGTTTTAATATTAACCTCTGGGCTTCGGGCTATGGTCGGCAACACCAATCACCCCCCCCCCCTCACGCGGGTATATTCAGGAACATTTACAAAAGAAATAAAAAGCGATTATAGTCTTAAAAGTTGGTCATGCATGATATAAACATGAAAAAAATATGTCCTTACCACAGGTTGACAACACCGGGGCTAGGGAGAGTTAAGAATGTTCGTGAAGTGGTGTGTGTGTGACACAATAGTGTGAGATAACCAACACTAATTTGTAAGCAGTATGAGGTACAGGACATTTGTTTTACTATGTTATTACTATTTACACTATTATCAATAACTGATCACAATACTAGACATGTGGTTGGGGGGTAGAAACACATGGTGAAGTGAGTCAAGACCATGGACGAGATGACTACATCACAAAAGGTGAGAAGAGACTGGGAGGCTCTTATGTGTGAGTGAGTGAAAGATATATACCTACTTGGCAACATAAGAACATAAGAAAATAAGGAGTCTGCAATAGGCCGGTTGGCCTGTGCATGGCAGCTCCTGTCGACAGTTACTACCACTCTCTATCATCCATGAATCTATCCAGCCTCCCTTTGAAACTTTCCAGCGTTCCCGCACTTACTACAAAGTTGCTAAGCTTGTTACACTCGTCCACCACCCTATTTGTAAACCAGTTCCTTCCTATCTCCCTCCTAAACCTAAACTTATCCAACTTGGATTCGAGTCCTATCCTGCTCGGATATTATAAGAACTTTATCTATATCCCATTTATTGATTCCTTTCATCCACTTAAATACTTCTATCATATCTCCCCGCACTCTTCGTCTTTCTAGGGAATGCAAGTTTAGTTTCTTTAACCTATCCTGATATGGAAGGTTTCTAAGTAAGGGAATCATTTTCGTCATTCTTCGCTGCACCGACTCTAGTGAATTGATATCCATTCTATAAGGGCACCAGAACTGAACCGCATAATCGAGTTGCGGCCTGACTAGCGCGAGATATAGTTGCAATAAGACCTCTGCACTCTTATTACTTACACTTCTAGATATAAAACCCAATACTCTGTTTGCCTTTTTTCGAACATTAACGCACTGTTTTCTAGGCCGTAGGTCCGGGCTTACAAGTACCCCTAGGTCTCTTTCACAAGTCGACTTCTCTAGGTTGATGTTGTTAAGGCTGTATACATTGACAGTATTTGTTCTTCCAATATTAAGCACGCTGCACTTGCTGGTGTTGAATTTCATTTGCCATTTTTCAGACCACCCCTGCAGTTTATTTAGATCCTCCTGTAATGCATTTGCATCCTGCCCTGAATTAATCTGCCGCCCTATTTTGGTGTCATCCGCAAACTTGCTTATGTCACTGCTGATCCCAGTATCTAGATCGTTTATGTAGATTATGAACAAGAGTGGGCCTAGTACTGACCCCTGGGGAACCCCACTGGTTACACTATCCCACTCAGATTTAACACCATCTACGCTGACCTTCTGCGTTCTATCGGTGAGCCATGATTTTATCCAATTTAAAACTTTCCCCTCGATACCATGAGCCTTAATTTTTCTCAGAAGCCTCTGATGCGGTACTCTGTCAAATGCTTTGCTAAAGTCTGAGTAAATAACATCGTAATTTTCGTCATTATCTACTACCTCGAAGACTTTCCTAAAAAATGTCAGCAAATTTGTTAGACAATGTCAGCAGATTTTTTAGACCCGCCTTTTTTATTCAAATAGGCCCGTGAAAGATTAAAATATCATGTGACGTGACCCAAAGCTCTACAGATACACGTAACAGGACCTGACCCGAATCCTAGGGTCATTGTGTTGACAGCGTTTGACCATTAAACACAATTGAGCCCACCCTGCACTGGTCTTCTTATCCAGACGTCGCACACTTCCCGCTTCATTGGCTGTAACACGTTATGATTCTCACATGATAGATCTGAGCAAATGCTGTAGTCTACGAAGTTTCCCGACCCGACCACCACCACCACCACAGAACCTCACTCACCGTGATCACACTCCATTATAAAGCCTGCACTATCCGGATATATTCTAATGTCTATACACTATGCTTGTTGGTGGGTCAACATTACATGAACACTGATATAACGTCTGTACCACCAACAACCACAACTCTGCCTTCCCTGTACCACCAACACCCCCTACCATGGGGGGCCAGTACCATCAGCAACACATGGTTTTGCTGCAGCAACAATGAAGCACATCACGCGCCCTTCAATGGAGTGATGTGTCACAAAGTGTTGAGTTCACAGAAAAAGGATTCCCTTTATGGTTATATACCTACTAGTGTTAGCAACGTACCTGCCAGAAATACAGGCACTTCCTAGCATGCCCCGGGGTGAAGGCCAGAGCATGCTGCAGCGTCAGACCCGTGCAGTCTCCTGTTAGTACCACGCCTGTGATGCACGCTTGCTCATCTTCGTCCATTAGTAAGTCAAATATAACGGACAATGCTTTTATCAATGCGTCCATACTCACATCATTTGGATCGTAGATGCCCCATCGACCAAACACCACTTTACGTCCAAGGTGATCATACCCAGGAAGGGGTAACAACACACTGTAATGTCCCAGCAGAGATTTTTGTGCTAAACAAAAATTTAACTGAAAAATATAACTCAAATGGAACAAAACAGAGCAAATTCAGGAGTCAAGATGACGTAAACGCACTGACATCCCCAAAAAGTCCCGAGAAGATGAACACACTTCCACGCAATTGTTTATCAATAACGGCAATGTTTGGTGGTTGAAAGTAAAAAAAAAAAAACTGATTAATTATCAAGCCTGCACACACATAATGAACTACACCTATCAACACGTACAGTACATGCATACACACACATACACACACCTGTCAACACATATATACACACACACACACACACACACACACACCCCTACCAACACATACACACATTTACCAATAAACACATATTTATCAAAACATATACATCTACCAAAACATACACACATGGTAACAAACAAACATAATGTGATGATTGTGAGACATGATAACTACTGCCCCGAGAGAACACTAACAAACACTTCACAGGTACAAGTGTTAAAACAAACTGACTCAAACTAGTAATCTATGGACAAAAATAATCTTGATTAGGGCCAAGTGGTGTTTGGTAGCGGTGGAAGTCTATAAAGGACACACAGAAGGGCACAGCTTTTGTATTTCTACTCTTCTCCTGTACTCTTGTAGTCTGTTAATCTGATGAGACATACCGGTACAGTAATTCATTATAGGCCACTGTAATGCAACTGATTTAGTTCGAATTAATTTAATAACAAAACTGAATTTTCTTGATGTTCATAAATATGTGTTATGTGAAAGGGAATGAGAAGTAAAGCTTGGGTCAGCATTTATTATGAAAGTTTAGAGAAATCGTTTAAATATGGTATTTTGGAATGTTAACTAACCTAAAGTATTGTGTAAACAGATACAGTACAATGATTGATAATCCCCGTGACATAGTTTTGAAGTCTTAAATCACTGTGACTCAATGAGAAAATGCTTAAAGAGAGCTAATATCTTATTGTTTGATCCCACGGTGACTGAAATCGTACTTATTTTTTTTTTCGTCGCTAATCGGCTTTCAAGCTGGTCGGGCAGTCGGTCACGTCTCTGTTATGCGCTGTTGGCAAGTACTAGCCATATACGGGCTCTAGAATGTACAGTCCCCTGCACTAGTGCGTTTACAGGGGCCTGTCATATAACTTTCCACTGATAATTACATTGAGATATTTGTTTTAATATTGTTTTGTTTTGATTCCAAAGTGTGTTTACTATAGCGAGTTTCCTTCTGTCGAATGAAACAAACACAGGCTGCCACACTGCACAAAACCAATCGCCCCCCTGTAAATGCACTAGTGAGGGGGACTGTACCTGAATATGCGCCAGTGTTCTTTTCTTTTCTTTATCCTCTTCACGGAATGATCGTCTCGTTAGCCGCTTGGTCGATCGGTCACGTCTCTGTCACGCACTGTTGGCAAGTACTGGACATGCACCGGCTCCTGCCTGCATGTACCTGAACCCGCTCCAGTGTTGGTCAAGTCTGGTCTTGAAAGAGCTCACACTAGTTGCCGTCACAACACTTTCTTGTTCCAAGAGGATCAAGTCTGGCCTTAAATTAACTTACACTCGGTGCCACTACAACACTCTAGCAGGTTATTCCAAGAGTTGACAACTTTAACACCAAAAATTAGCTCAGATAATTTTCTGAACTTGTGGCTTCTTTAACATGAGGCTGTGACCTCTGGTGGGGCGGTCATCCGCTAGCTCCAAGTCGGAACCCCTGATTGAGCATTGTCCAGTTCAAGTTTAGAAGCTCCAAAAGTTGTTGGTAGCGAAAGGCAGAGCGGGGAAGATGACAGAGGAAGGAGCAGGAGGTTAGGAAGGGAATTGTAGTGGGAGAGATAGTGCCGTGGCTTTACACGACTGCGTTTATTTGGTTAGCGCATAGCGCACGTATTTGGTTTTGTCTGTGTTGGGTGTGTGATCCTCGGGTCACCACTCCTCCGGATTGTGTCAGTTCAAGTTTAGAAGCTCCAACAACTTTCCCTGAATACGAATTCGCAACCTTTCGATTTACAACAGGTACCTACTTTACTGCTAGGTGAACAGGGACCAAGGGGGCTAGGAAGAGTGTCCAAACAACTTCCGCTTGCCCGGGAATCGAACCCGTGACATCTTGTTTGCGAGGCAAGAGCGGTACCGCTTCTACCACAATCGCCCCATGCATTGTCCTCTGAGGTGCTTATAAACATTTATTAAATCAGCCATTATCCGTCTATAGTATAAGCTGGGCAACTGCGGGCGATCTATTTTTTTTTTAGTTGCTCTCTTTTGGAGGTTCTCAATCAACTGGCAGTCTCTAGCACATCTCGGGGACCAGGCGGGGCCCCCGACAGTACTCCAAGCGGGGAGGACCTCACTATTGAAGAGCGCTATGAGGGACAGGGCTTCTAGGTATGTACCCCTGGTTATCTAGGGTTCATTAAATCTTGAAAAAGCGCAGTCACCTGTATGTATATTATGGATGCTGTATTATATATTATGTATGTATATTATGTATGTGCTCCATTTATGTACTATTTATTCAGCCTAGCTAGCAGTGTGTGGCAATGTATTTAAGATATCCCACATGCTTAATTAATGTGCCTGGCGACGTATGGAAGCTGCTAATGTCTCACTTGCCATACGTCGTCTATAGCAGTTGACAAGGAGCCAAGCTGAGGAGCGTTACTTCCCTCTGTGTACATATCTCTGATCCAGTAACTCGAACCTACAAAACTATACAGGTGTTTGTGTTCTCTCCTGTATATTGAACTTATTATCCAGAACCTAACATGGCGCAGTGCGTAGTTTTACTGGATAATTACGAGTGATAGTGCAAAGTTTGTGGAAAGCCGGCTTATGGACCCTCGCCCTGCATCAACCGCCGCCCTCCATCCCTCCTCGAAGAATTTAGCAACTTTGAGCAGTGTCAGTGACAGTGATTTTCTGTGAAGTGTTTAGTGCATTGTGTGTTTCGTGCCATTCATGTGTGACCTTGTTCTAAAGGATTCGCAAGGTATACGGCATGTTCTGGGCATTTGTAAGGAGTAGAGTTCAGTGCACCCTTCTCTGACCACGTCCAGAGGGTGACTGACGCTCCTCGCCGTCTCCACACCCCCTCACAGCTCGAGGCGAGACGCTCTCCCTGCCCGGGACACACATACACACATACATGTACTAACATTCTCTGACCGCGCGGCTTTCTTATATATATTTTATATATATAATCTACTTATCTGTGTATTTAATTAATTTTTTTTGTCTGAAATCTTGTTGATACGACGGGCTGACCGGTCAACACTGATTTAAGACACAGTACACAGATGAAGTAGTTATGTCTCGTGCCTTACGTAGCCGTGGAGCCAGCGCCGCCCGGATGAGTGAGGCGGATGATAGCTCGGCAGAGATGGATGACATGGCCGACCACGACGCTCCAGCTCCCACAACATCGCGCAGCCCTTCACCTCAATATTCAGCGTTGTCTCCAGAGATAATTGCTTTAATGAAGTTTATGAGAGATGAAAGGCGCGAGGATGAAGCTAGCAGACGTGTGGCGGATGAACACAGAAGGCAAGCAGAGGCAGAACGAAACCACCAACGGAGAGTGGAAGACAGTGCACGGTTTGAAGCCTTGATATCTCGCCTCACTGTTAACCAAGCCCCTGGCTCTAACATTGCCTCGGTACTGACTGGTTCAGATACCTCATCAATGCTTCCTTCACGCCCCCCAGCCCCACCTAAAGCAGCAGCTCAAACACCGCCCATCTTGAAGCCTGATGTGATTTTCCAGACTTTTCGTCAATGGCGGCGACGGTGGACTGATTATTCTACAATGGTGGACCTCCAGAGTTTGTCACAGCCAAAACAACTCATCCAGCTGCGTATGTGCCTGTCCTTGGAAATTCAGCGTGTCTTGGAACATACGTTGCAGGTACCTCCGACCTCTTCGTTGTCTGTAGAGGAGGTACTGGACATTCTACAACGGCACATCAAAGGACAGCAGAATGAAGCTCTGCTCAGGAGGGAATTGTTTAGCTGCAGACAGATGGAAGGTGAGACTTTTGACGCCTTTTATGTACGTCTTAAGAGAGCCTCGGAAGAGGTAGATATATGTCTAGGCCACCACCAGCAGTGCGAGGAGACCCAGTTGAAGCAGGTGATCTTGATGGGTGTTAAGGACGAGGAACTTGTCCAACGCCTCACCTCCCTCGACTCTTCCTCTTCTCTCAAGGATGTGTTGACGATATGTCGCTCCTATGAGGCTGCCAGGTGTGCCACCTCTGCCATCCGAGCTCCCCCTACAGCTGTACGCGCTGTGTCCCGGTACAAGAAGGACAAGAAGTCTGCTCCTACGCCTTCGCCCACCACGTCCACGCCCGGTTCATTTTGTAACAACTGTGGTAAGCAGCACGGAACACAGGTGTGTCCAGCTGCTGAGTCTACCTGCAACAGTTGTGACCGTAAGGGCCACTGGCCACTCACAGTACGGTGCCCAGCCAAGTACGTCCAGTGCAATGTGTGCGGTCGTCTGGGCCACTACGACAAGTGTTGCCCTTCCAACAAACCCAAGGGACAGCGTCGGCGGAAGCTTCAGCGCCCTTCCACCAGAGAGGGCCGCCCACAGTCTTCCAATCAGAAGCATGACGACCCTGGACAACGCTCGAGCCAAATTAGGAATGTGTGCTCCCCCCCGCGTCCCAGGACCAAAGTCCCCCAGTACATCAGTGTCATTGTGACCTACCGCAGTGTGTCATCCCGTCTTCAGATGTTGCCTGACACCGGCGCTGATGCTACAGTCATCGGTCCCCAGCATTTGCAATGCTTGGGGCTCTCTCCAAGTGATCTAGGACCGCCCCCCAAGGATCTCTGCTTTATGGCAGATGGTTCACAGATGACCCCGGCCCTGGGTTCACTCTATGCACATGTCACTTTTGGCAACAGGTCGTGTCAGGCCTGGATTGACGTGCATAATGGTGTCCCGACTCCTTTGCTGTCCTACAGACATTGCCAAGAGTTGGCCATCATCTCCCAGGACTTCCCAACACCGATTCTTGAGGTAAAATACGCCAACAGGGTGCACGAAGGGAGCAGCAACTACCCTGCTGCCGCCCTACCCCTGCCTCTGGCCAGTGACACCTCTCCTTCGGTAGTTGTCCCTGCTGCTTCAAGTCTCCATCCCTTGGCCCGCCTCCACGACAGTCACTGTGGAGCCGAGGCCACCAAACGGCGTGCAAGACAGACTGTGTTCCGGCCTGGCATCGACCCCGACATCTCCAATGCTGTCCAGGTGTGTAAGCCCCGCCACGTATTACAACCCAGCCAGCAGCAGGAACCCTTCATGAGTGACGACAACCCCACCCGCCCCTTTGAGTCTGTGTCGGCCGACTTTTTCTGTGTGTCAGGAAAGTCCTTCCTTGTTATCGTCGACCGTCTCTCTGGTTGGCCGGTTGTCATCAAGTGCGGTAATGACACGACGTCTGCCGCCACCATCAGCAAGTTCCGCCACTACTTCCGTGACGTGGGCGTTCCTGTACGCCTGCGAACCGACGGAGGGCCTCAGTTCACAAGCCGGGACTTTGCTGTGTTCCTTGACCGATGGGGAGTCCGGCATGTGTTGTCATCGCCCCATTACCCGCAGTCCAACGGCCACGCTGAGGCTGCTGTCAAATCCCTGAAGCACCTCATCCTTAAGGTGGCCCCTTCTGGGAACATTGACTGCGAGGCCTTCGACCGGGGTCTTCTTGAACTCCGCAACACACCTAACTACACCGGACGCTCCCCTGCCCAGGTTTTGTATGGACGCCCCCTTCGTTCTTGTGTCCCTGCTCACCCTCAATCCTTCTCCAAGGAGTGGCAGGCCAAGACAGAGGATTGTGATCGCCGAGCCGCCGAACGTGTTCAGGACGTCGTCGCCCGCTACAACGACCATGCCCGTTCTCTCCCCAGGTTGAGTGTCGGCACCCAAGTCCGTGTTCAGGACCCGACCTCCCTACGTTGGGACAAAGTAGGCGTAGTCATGGGTCTCGGTAGGTCACGGGACTACCAGGTGCGGTTACCCAGTGGTCGTGTGTGGTGGAGGAACCGCCGTTTTCTCCGCCCCGTAACAATGCCTTCTGCTGGCCCAGCCACCAGTGTTGAGTCCCATACCCTCCCTAGTGATGTAGTCCCTCGACGCTCAGAACGGATCCAGAAGAAAAGGTCCGCTCAAGACTTTGCTATGAGCGTATAGGGGGGAAGGAGGTGTATGTATATTATGTATGCTGTATTATATATTATGTATGTATATTATGTATGTGCTCCATTTATGTACTATTTATTCAGCCTAGCTAGCAGTGTGTGGCAATGTATTTAAGATATCCCACATGCTTAATTAATGTGCCTGGCGACGTATGGAAGCTGCTAATGTCTCACTTGCCATACGTCGTCTATAGCAGTTGACAAGGAGCCAAGCTGAGGAGCGTTACTTCCCTCTGTGTACATATCTCTGATCCAGTAACTCGAACCTACAAAACTATACAGGTGTTTGTGTTCTCTCCTGTATATTGAACTTATTATCCAGAACCTAACATCACCCATGATAACTAAATAATAATACCACAGGTGAGCGGACTGAGAATTTATGCTTTGGCAGTTATGTCCAACTAAATTTACTGGTGTTCCTACAGCTTGAAATAAGCTGTACTGTACATATACTTTAATGGTTGAAATCTAGTCATAGTTTCCTTGTGTGGTCAGTGTTAATGTGACAGAAGATCTACTCTAGTTCCGGACATCTCCAGTAAATTCATTATCATCATTGGGCTATATATTACACTATAGTTTTATGATGTTAATTGATTTCAAAACTGCATGGATTCGACCTGAGGGAAACATTCACCGACAACAACATTTATAATAACCTTATACCTTAATAAAGTTCAGTCATGTACTGTACAATACAATTATAAGTTATGCTTAGGACGAGATATTTTCCCACTATACTTCCCCACCAAAGGAAATAAGTTATACAGTTTTAACGAATTTCAATTGTTTTGTACACTAGTTAAAATTGTAGTTAGTTCACACCTGCCATATGGTCATGGCCTTCTTGACAAGGGCTGGGGACATCTGCAAACCATGAGCTGCGGTGATATTCTCCATGTCCAACATCTGCACTACACCTGTGATCGACATCTGTTCATCTTCCAGCCAGAGGATGTCACTGATGAAGTGTGTGGCCTTGAACACTTCGTCCATGGAGGTGACCTTGGGGTCATGTTTGGCTGTGCGGATGATGACCACCTTCCGACCTTGGTTATCATAACCAGGAAGTGGCAGGAACATACTGGGGATAGCACCATCTCACCCATAAGTCCTCGCTTTCCTGCACTCCCTTACTCCTACACCACAAAGCTCCCACTACTCTACAAAATCACAGCCATGTAAATATTCTAATCAAGACACTGACAAAGGTTCCATGACGACGACACCACTACAACACAGAGACAACAATACCTCAACACCATTCCGGGACTTAGAAACCTTCCATATCAAGATAGATTAAAGAAACTAAACTTGCATTCCCTAGAAAGACGAAGAGTGCGGGGAGATATGATAGAAGTATTTAAGTGGGTGAAAGGAATCAATAAAGGAGATATAGATAAAGTTCTTATAATATCCGAGCAGGATAGGACTCGGAGCAACGGATTTAAGTTGCATAAGTTTAGGTTTAGGAGGGAGATAGGAAGGAACTGGTTCACAAATGGGGTGGTGGACGAGTGGAACAAGCTTAGCAACTTTGTAGTAAGTGCTGGAACGCTGGAAAGTTTTAAAAGATGGCTAGACAGATTCATGGATGATAGAGAGTGGTAGTAACTCTCGACAGGAGCTGCCATGCACAGGTCAACCGGCCTATTACAGACTTCGTATGTTCTTATGACATAAATGCAGGCAATATCAGACGAAACTTTAAAAAAAAGCCTTAATCGAAATAAATTAATCCAAGTATAACGCCCCTTTGCGGGTTAACAGAAAACACATATAAGAAAGGAATGCAAACTAAACCAAACATGAAAATCACAAACTTCTCATTGTCTAAGATCCAGAATAATAGTTTGGTTAAAGTATATACAGTACTGTACCTGCTATGATGTTGGGACTTCATAAAACAACAACAACAACAAACACATTACACTCATGTTACATAGGACTCCTAAATAAGCACCCACATCATTATATATATATATATATATATATATATATATATATATATATATATATATATATATATATATATATATATATACAGTTGACTTCTTATCGAAAGTACCGAAAATCGAAAAAACTCTGTAAACCGAAAGTTTTTTTTTATTGAACATTTTTTTTTTTTTTTTTGTTTTTTTTTACAGGATTAGCCCACCAGGCATAGATCACTGACCCACATCGGGGCCTGGGGAGCGAAAATGTAATAGTAATTCTAATTATAATAATTATTATAATAATTATTCATAGTAAATAAAAATTTTAATTAAAAAAATACACCAAAATAAAATAATAATGATAACAATAATAATAAAATATAATAATAAAATTTATAATAATAATAACAATAATACTGTATTAATAAGATAATAATAATAATAATAATAATAATAATAATAATAATAATAATATTAATAATAATAATAATAATAATAATAATAATAATAATAATAATAAAGAAATACAAGAATGAATAAGATAAAAAAGTGAGAAACACGACCTAGACCTATGAATTATTATTATTATTATTATTATTATTATTATTATTATTATTGTTATTATAGTTTCGCCCCTCAGGCCCCAATGTGGGTCAGTGACTTGTGCCTGGGTGGGCTAATACACAAAAAAAAAAAAATAAAAAAAAAATAACCATTCTGAAAACCGAAAAATTCCGAAATCCGAAATGCCTCTGGCCCCAAGGATTTCGGATAAGGGATTGTCAACCTGTATATATTCTTGCAATATTAATAACTACTGTACAGCTTCTTGTTATCATTGCTAAAGAATGAAACCCTAATGTGTTCAAATTGTGAAACAAATCTTGAATAAAAGGTTTTATTCTTTTCATAGTAAAGAATTAAGAGTTTAAATAATAAATAATTAAATAATATAATACAATGTTTGTACATCTCAAGACACTAATGTACAGTATACAGTACACTCGGTACACTATATTAATTTATGATAATTTACTATTTCAAATATTATATATATTTGTGTAATTACTTTATGAATTTTAATGTGTTTAAGTTTCATTTATAAAATCATAAATGGTGAACTTTTCTTTATGGAGTGATTAAATTATCGGCATGAATTATATACTGTACGGTTAAAATGAAAACTGTACAAGAGAGATATTGTAAGCTTACCCAAGTTCGAGGATGGCACGCATTTTCTTGTCCTGTGGGTCGCGGTTTTTATACCATTCAGGGCACAGGGACTTGCACGTGTAGAACATGTCCAACTTCTCCTTAGTGCGCTGTAGTGAGAACTTACATCCTCGCAGGAACCTCAGTATGGTCCAGTCATCTATTGGCAGGAATCAACACTTATTTACATATTCATTGTACAAAATATTCACATGTTATTTATTTCATAACAGTAGATATTTTACACAACATAAGAGCTCACCATCTCTATTCCTATATTAAAAATATATTATTGCAAATGTGTTGGATAAGTTAAATCTCAATTCAATTATAAAAAAACATAATTATAAATTATATTAGTGACAATTATAGTGAGTTTTTTCAGACCAAATCTATTCAAGCCAGTAGAATAACATACTCGCATACGTATATCAGTAACTACAGTCTACAGGTATAAAGGAAACGCTACCGATAGGCGTATCCCAGCCAGTACACCAAAAGTCATCGCCATTGTGAAGGAACTCCACGATGGCATGAACGGCAATGGCACCCAGTCTGAGTTCTTCCCCATCTAAACGGGGGTAAAACAAGGGTGTATACTAGCAATAACTCTTCTCCATTTTCTTAGCTTCCTTCCTTAGTCATACCAGTACCAATTTAGCCGGCTGAAGCCAGATGGAGGGACTTTTCAACTTAAGAAGACCCCATGCAGGAACAAGGGTGACAGCCGCTTTTCACTGAGCTTCATTCAGTATGCAGACGATCTCAGCCTTGTCGCTCACACTGAATGCAGCCTACAGGAGATCCTGAACACCACCTGCCACAGGAACTTGCTTTATATTTATATGTGTATTTTTATTATCTATGGGCCATGCCTTTTTTTTCTGTGAGGATTTTCCTATGTGATTACGTCAGCCTTCCTACCACATGGCCCACTGTGCTTGGGACAACGTGTTACCGAGAGATGAGCCTCAGCCAGGGCGTGGTCAGATTTCTTCATACCGGAAAGGGTGTGGTCCTGGTCCCCAAGTCAGATGGGTGCAGCCATGTGCCAGCACTGAAAAGACGCTGCCACCACCCCAACCACACTAGATGTAGCCCTCCACATATGCAACATTTGCAGACGGCCTTGCCGGTCCCGTATCGGCCTCTCGAGTCATCTCAGGGCTCACCAGCGAAGGTCACATCATTAATAAATCATATAACTGTATCATAGCTGGATGATCGTCATACTCGATTCCAAGTGACAGCAAAGTAGTAGCAGTAGTGTGTATCCTATTAAGACAGCCACAGACTCACCTGTCCTGGCCTTGATGTGCGGTTGGTGTTTCAACCAGTCCCTGATGTGCTGGATGTCCTCAGCTCGCCGTTCTGGGTCCTCGTTGATCTCCTCTTTCGCCCGCTTCTGCAGCTCCTCGCTCAGTGTGCATACATATTCGCCCACCATCTTGACTCTCACACTCGCCGACACAAACTGTAGTACCTGCCAACACAAACTGTAGTACCTGCCTGTAGACGTGTGTGGGCGTCTGTAGAGATGTGTGGGTGTTGTAGAGATGTGTGTGGGTGTTGTAGAGATGTGTGGGTGTTGTAGACGTGTGTGGGTGTTGTAGACGTGTGTGGGTGTTGTAGAGATGTGTGGGTGTTGTAGACGTGTGTGGGTGTTGTAGAGATGTGTGGGTGTTGTAGACGTGTGTGGGTGTTGTAGAGATGTGTGGGTGTTGTAGAGATGTGTGGGTGTTGTAGAGATGTGTAGAGGTGTGGTGTTGTAGAGATGTGTGGGTGTTGTAGAGATGTGTGGTGTTGCAGTGTTGTAGAGGTGTGAGAGGTGTGAGGGTGTTGTAGACGTGTGTGGGTGTTGTAGAGATGTGTGTGGGTGTTGTAGAGATCTGTGGGTGTTGTAGAGATGTGTGGGTGTTGTAGACGTGTGTGGGTGTTGCAGAGATGTGTGTGGGTGTTGTAGAGATGTGTGGGTGTTGTAGACGTGTGTGGGTGTTGTACAGGTGTTTATATTGTGATGGGAACTAGGTAGTCAGCTCGTTATGTTATGTTTGCATTATATTTGATTGTGATATGTATTGTTGTAGGTTATATAGTATATTATATTGTAAATTATGTATTATTTGTGTTAATGTTTACATCCTTGTTGTGAGTAACAAACAACCTGGCAACTCTGTGAGGCTAGTTGGTAGGTCTACCTGTAGCAGTCACTCACTCCCTACCCTGGCTTCTTGACGTGCTGTTCTGAGTGGCTCTGACTTGCGCTGTGTACGAGTTCCCGGTGGGCGGTGACTCTGAGGGTTTTGTGTTTGTGCTACTGAGTGGTCACCTCACAGCTAAGTTTACTTTGTGTTTATGGATTAGGATCATAATTATAATGTATATTGTGATAGGTAACACTTATTCCATGTGCTAATTGTAAGATTGGAGGTTCTTGTCTTTTTGTTCCTGGTGTTGTTACTCAGTTATAGTTGATGTGCATTCATTTTCACTTTACTGTGTATGTAGTGTAAGTATGTTTAATACTGCAGCAATCTTTTTTTTGTAAATATTCTCCCAAATAGCCACTTAAACAAGAGTAATGTTGTTCATTAAAACCTAGACTCATGAGTTACTAGAATTTAGTGTTCAAGTCAGAGATGATAGATTCACAAAAATTTTCATCAAACATTTGTATACTCATGGGCTTCCTGTGAGCTTAACACTTGACACAAACTAGAATTTTTTGCTCAGCATTTATACCACCTGAAGATTAAATAACTCGGCTTATTTTACTTGATTAACCATCCTAACCTAACATAACCTAACCTAGCCCAATCTAAGATAACGTAATTCAACCTAGCTTAATCTAACTTAATGCCAACCCAAAGTAAGTCACTCTAACCTAGTCTAACCTAACCCAAACTAACATAACGTAGATTAATCTAATCTAGCCCCCTAGGTAATGTTATGGTGGTTAATATTTAGGTGAAAATAAATGGGGGTGTCTAATCTTTCAGAGACGCTTATTTTGTTTAGTAATTGTACATATCAATGTGAAGTTCAGAGTAATTATATATATCAAGGTCGATTTTATAGATAAGGCAATGTCCACGGAGAGCCACAGTGCCTCATCATAATAGAGTAAATAAAATTATGTGTTTTGGTGCATCTCGTGAAGATTAGTAAACAGCTTATCCCACCCATTGATTAAACACAATACTAAATTGGGGGTTAGGTTAGGTCGGGTTAGGTTAGATTTGATTAAAATTCCAGTGAATGAAAAGTGGCTTATGTGAGTCCTATCTTCAAGAAGGGCGATAGTCACTCCACGAACAACTATAGACCGGTGAGCCTAACCAGCATAATATGTAAAGCACTTGAGAGTATTATCAGAGATGCCGCGACGGAACATCTACTACGAAACAACCTTGTAAAAGATTGCCAACACGGTTTTATGCCGGGGCGCTCTTGCTTAACACAATTGCTCAAGGTATTGGATATTTGGACCCATATTCTGGAACGGGGTGGTAATATCGACAATATTTACCTAGATTTTGCCAAGGCTTTCGACAGTGTACCCCACGAAAGGCTGAAAATCAACTGGAAGGGTACGGAATTCGGGGAAATGTCCTAGCGTGGATAGAAGACTTTCTACATGACCGCAAGCAGTGTGTGGTGATTAATGGCACGAAATCGTCATCTGTACCTGTAACAAGTGGGGTACCACAGGGCAGTGTATTGGGCCCGCTGTTGTTTGTTTGTTTCATAAATGACATGCCTGACGTTGTACACTCCTCCATACAAATGTTTGCCGATGATGGCAAGTTATTTCGGGAAATTAAGAACCAAGCGGACTGTGAAGAGCTGCAGAAGGACCTCTGTGGGCTCCAGGAATGGTCGAAGAAATGGCTGCTGAGATTCAATGTCACGAAGTGTAAGAGGATGCACCTGGGGCGTACCAACGGTAAGGAGGCGTATCATATGTCCCAACGGGATGAAGAAAATGCACTAGTTGAGACTGTGTGTGAGAAGGACCTAGGTGTGTATGTTGACAATGGTGGTAGATGCGGTACCGTTCTTGCCTCGCAAGCGAGATGTCACGGGTTCGATTCCCGGGCCGGTGGAAGTTGTTTGGACTTACTTCCTAGCCCCCGTTAGTCCCTGTTCACCTAGCAGTAAAGTAGGTACCTGGTGTAAGTCGAAAATTGCGAATTCGTATTCAGGGAAAGTTGTTGGAGCTTCCAATAACTTGATGACATAAACCACTGACTCTTCAGGCTTCTACGCCCTTGACTCTTCAGGCTTCTACGCCCTTAACTCGTGAGACATAAAGGCAAGCATGAACTTAGCATGCTTCCCTGTTGGGCGCTGTAAACGCTTCTGCGCTTCACCTTACACAAGGATGTAGGGGAGTGCCCAATAAAAAAAAATAAATAAATAAAAAAATAAACTTGGTGGGGGGGGGGGGTAGTTATATTTGTGTGCAAGTATTTGAGAAGTTGAATGGTCAGGCTTAACAAGAACACGACAAACTGTTTCATGTCGCATTATTATTATTAGTGTTTTCTGGCCGCTTCTTCTGATCTGACTCCGAAACATTCCCCACATAACCAGCCCGTTCTTACCTCTGCTCCTTATTCTATTCTACACAGACACAGCTGATGACTAGTTCTTAATTATGTTTGTTTAGATTATACCATCACTATAGTTATTGTAACAGTCAGTGTAGTCACTACACAGTAGGTATATAATTTACTTCATTGGCATAACACTTTAGACAACATCTCAAGCTAATGAACCTGTGATCTCAGGGGCTGTGGACATAATTTACCCACAGTAGAGCAATTGATTATCTCCACATAATATACAGGTTGTTCTATGGTTCACAGTGGGGTACTTAGATGGTGGCCGAAAGGCGATCAAAGGGTCAATTTATGGCAGTAGCCAGGTTTCGATTAAAAAAAATCGAACGAATCTGACCTTCGTCCTACCCAACTTAACCTAACCGAAACCTGACAAATATCCTAAATTGACTGATCAAAGTACAGGTAATATTGTATATGATGGTGGAGGTGAGAGCAGTGGAGGCAGCCAAACATACCTGAGTCTGTAGTAAGAGTGATGAGAGAGGTCGCCAGCTGACACCGGTACAAAACGCCCCAAGAGTTGTTACCCAACTAACGGAAGGTCGATTCTCTTTCACCAGTCATGTGTGGGACGTCGCACCAGAAATGCGCTCCTTAGCTCACCTCACTGACACCTACAACGTTAAGCTTATCTAATTTTGATGTTTTATTGTCTTTAAACTATATATAAGCCTTTATATATATTCATGAACGACCAGCAACTGCCATCAATTATAGACGATAGCACATGGAACAGGACGACAACGAGAGAAATTGGTTATATGTAATCAACAGATTGTGTTATCGGGATTGTCTGAGTCGTTATCTTGTGAACTGCAGTGTTCTGTCACTCTTCCACACTCCAGCCTCTCACTGCTTTGTTTTATGTAAATAACTAAGTTGGTGGTCTTATCTTTCTTTATGAGACATTAACTGGTTTAAGTCTCGACAAAATCTGTTTTCCTCTAAAATGAATGAACATGCATAAGATATTCCACACTAAGCTATAGGTATATAGGAAAATTATGTCGAAAAATAACAAAGCTGTATACTGTACGTTTCTCCAAATTCTCTGTTAGATTTTGCCAAGGCTTTTGACAATGTACCCACATGAAAGGCTGAGAATTAAACTGGGAGGGTACGGGATTCGGGGAAGTGTCCTAGCGTGAATCGGAGATTTTCTGCATGGCCGCAAGCAGTGTGTGGTGATAACGAAATCGTCACGTCTACCTATGACTAGCGGGGTACCACAGGGCAGTGTATTGAGCCCGTTGTAAGTCTGTTTCATTAATGACATATCAGTACCTATACACTCCTCCATACAAATGTTTGCGGACGATGTCAAGTTATTTAGGGAAAGTAAGAACCAAACAGACTTTGGAGACCTTCTGAAAGATCTCTATAAGCTTCAAGAATGGTCGAGGAAATGGTTGCCAAGATTCAATGTCACGAAGAGCAAAAAAATGCATCTGGGTCGCACCAACAGTAAGGGGGTGTATCACATGTACCAGCAGGAAGAAGAGACTGCATTGAGACCGAACGTGAAAAGGGCCTGGGTGTGTATGTCGACAATGAACTTAAGTTCTCGGGCCATTGTGAGAAGGTGAATTAAGCAACGAAACTAGCAGGTCTTATAAGAAGGTCGTTTAGAGATGTGGATAGTCCGTCGCTCATGATCTTCAAGAGTGAGGTGCTTCCCCATCTGGAGTATTGTCACCCCATCTGGTCCCCGAGGTATGCTAGAGACTGTCAATTGATTGAGTGTCCAAAGGAGGGCCACCAGACTGCTGCCTCCTCTACGAAACCTCAGTTGCCCAGAGAGATTGGAGCGCCTGCAACAATCTAGCTTATACTACAGACGGGCGACCCAATCGAAGTGTATAAACATCTCAGGGGGATGGAGCTGGTGGACGCTCGCCCCCCCCCCATAAGGAGTCACAACTCAAGGTTGAAGAAGCCACAAGTCCAGAAAACTGCGAGGGCAAATTTTTTTCGGAGTGTGAATTGTGAACTCTTGGAATAATCTGCCAGAGTGTTGTGACGGCACCGAGTGTGAGCTCATTCAAGGCCAGACTTGAACAACACTGGAGCAGGTTCCGATATAATCAGGAACCAGTGCATGCCTAGTATCTGCCAACAGTTCATATCAGAGACGTGACCGATCGCCCAAGCGGCTGTAATGTAGTGTATGTGGTGCAGTAGTCAAAGTTCCCTTTCTTATGTGTCAATTTTCTTTTTCTTTAGGACCACATACAGACGTATGTTGTGTTGTGTTGTAGAGGAGCTTGTTGAGAGGAGGTCTTGTCGGATTGAGAGCTTGTAGTAGAATGAGAATCTCGATTGTTGTTGTTGAGATTGTTGGACCGTAGTCGACACGGGCCTTTGCCTGTAGGTGGCCCGTTTGATGGTTCTGACTGGAGCTTTTGGAGCAGCCAGATATGAAAGGATACTGCAGGTTTGCAAGTGTGAGCGGACCCTCGGTCAGTGAGCGCTTACCACCAACCCCCACTCTTGGACGTGGTCAGTTTCGGAGTGGCGCCCCCCCCGAACCTGGGTCCGCACTTGCTGGGGGAAATTACCTCCTAAGCTATCTGGGTGGTGGTGAATGTGGTTTGTTTAGGCCTTTTGGGCTAGAGTGGCAGCTGGTGTTGTGTGTGCTTCTTGGGAGTTTCGAATTCTATTCGGAGACTTTGTGTGACTTCGCAGTCGAGGAGATAGTGTTCAAGTGGGTTGGCTGCTGGCTCCTGACAGTAGATGCATTCCATGACGACATTTCTGATCGTCTGCCAGGTGCACTTGTACCTTAGTCATAGTCGATGAAGGCTAACTTGTGTTTGTCTTGGTGTTTTCTTGTCCGCGAATGGTGGTTCCCCTTTTGTAGTCACCAGGTACCATTTGGCTGAATGGGAACCAGCGTTGAATGCGCCGAGGAAGCTCTTTTGGATTTGGAGCTTGGTAGTCTTTCTGAGGTGGTTCTTGATCTGTTGCGCGCTTGCTGGATCTTGAATGTGTACGCTTCTAAAAGTGTCGCTGCTTCGTCTGCCATGTCATTTCCCCAGATCCCTACATGACTGGGAATCCAGTGTAAGACGACTGGGCGATTTTGTCTTTGGAAGTCCTGTAGCTGTGCGAGGATCGAGGTTATGATGTGGACGTTGTCTCTTGATTGACTGTGTTGCAGCGCCTCAATTAAGTCCCCACTTGCCCGTCTGTAGTATAAGCTAGGCAATTTCAGGCGCTCCAATCTCAGGGTAGTTGAGGTGCGGCCGTGCAGGCACCAGTCTGGTGGCCCTTCTTTGGACATTTTCAATCAACTGACAGTCCCTAGCATATGTCGGGGACCAGACAGGGTGACTACTCCAGACGGGGAAGCATTTCACTCTTGAAGATCGTTACGAGGGATGGACCATGCATCTAGATATCTGAATGACCTTCTTATAAGACCTATTAACTTAGTAGCCTGATTCACCTTCTTGCAATGGCCCGAGAACTTCAGCTCATTGTCAACATACACACCTAGGTCCTTTACACATTGTCTCAATAAATCCTGTTTCTTCGTCCCGTTGAGACATATGATACGCCTCCTTACCGTTGGTACGTCCCAGGTGCAGCCTCTTACACTTCGTGACATTGAATCTTGGCAGCCACTTCGACCATTCTTGAAGCTCAGAGATCCTTCTGCAGCTCTTCACCGTCTGCTTGGTCCTTAATTTCCCGAAATAACTTGGCGTCAACCACAAACATTTGTGTGGAGGAGTGTACAACGCCAGGCATGTCATTTATGAAGCAAACAAACAATAGCGTGCCCAGTACACTGCCCTGTGGTACCCTGCTTGTGACGGGTGCACATGATGATTCCGTGCCATTAATCACCCCACACTGCTTGCGGTCATGGAGAAAGTCTCCAATCCACACTAGGACATTCCCCGAATCCCGTACCCTTCCAGTTTAATTTTCAGTCTTTCATGGGGTACACTGTCGAAAGCCTTGGCAAAATCAAGGTATATATTGTTGAATTTGGTTCCAAATATCCAGTACCTTGAGTAATTGTGTTAAACAAGGAGAGTCCCGGCATAAAACCGTATTGGCAATCCTTTACAAGGTTGTTTTTTTAGTAAATGTTCCATCATGGCATCTCTTATAATACTCTCAAGTACTTTACACACTATGCTGGTTAGGTTCACCGGTTTATAGTTATTCGTGGAATGACGATCGCCTTTCTTGAAGATAGGACTCACATAAGTCATTTTCCAATCACTGGGGACCTTTTGCTCATCCAGGCATTTACAGAACAGGTTCTTCAGGGGCTCCGCAAGCTCGATGCGCAACTCTCTTAGCACTCTGGGATGCACCATGTCAGGGCCATCTTATGAACCTTTAGCTTTGACAATTTGTTTCTTATAACCTTCTGTGAACACAATGTGGGTCAGTACTGTATCGAACCGTCTGTCCTCAAATATAAGATTAATCGCATCCTCTCGTTTGAAGACCGAGGAAAAGAAACTCTTCAATGCCTCCGCTTTGTCCTGGTCAGAATCTGCATAACTACTATTTTCAAGCCTCCGGTCCGATAATCCTACTCGTTTTTTTAATTTCGACTTTGCATAACAGTAAAACGCTTTTGGGTTTGACTTGACCTCGCTTGCAACCAGCCTCTGGAACTCCATTTCAGCTCTTCTACATTCTGACTTTGCTTGGTTCCTGGCTCTTGCATACATCCTCCTGTCCCGCTCATCGTTTGACCTAACCCACGTCTTGAACTTCTGGGTTTTCTTCTTAACTTTGTCGACCACCACTTGGTTCATGTGTATGGGTCTCCTTGTATTTCTAGAGGCAATGGGTTAGGTCTTGGGTATATATTTCTCGATCAAATGGTTCACTTTACTAATACTAGCCATGATATTCAGCGTAGTGTCTGCGTTCTTATGCCTTAGTGAGTCAGGCCAGTGGATACCCCTCATTTCCTCCCTCATCCCATCGTAATTTCCATTGTAATATTTGCACCTTGGCCTGGTTTTGTTGTAAACTAAGTAACAGTCAAATCTGAATGACAACATTACATGGTGGCTGGTGTCAACTAGAGGTAGGTGTTCCAGTTTGGCCACCATACACTCCTCGTTTGTTATGTTGAGGTCCAGTGGCTTGGGTGTCTGCTCCCCTCTGTAATGTGGGGTTTTTAACATGTTGGAACAGAAAATTATCCCCGAGTTTCTACAAAAAGAGTAGTGGGGTTATTTAAGTTGTAGTGGATTCCTACAAACGCTTTTGTCGCTGAGTAGCCGACCCCGCGAATTCTCCAGCTGCACCTCGTGTCTAGGTCAGCAACCAGCGCCGCCCTACATCACGGAGGTCAACTATTAAGCCACGCCTACCTCCGCTATATAAGACCACACCTCGTGGTGACCTGCCTCTTTCTACCCACAGCCACCAGCCAGCAACACCTCCTCCGCTCCTGCCTGGCGGCCCTCGCTCCCGCCGGCGAGCATGGCGACCCACAAGCTGGTCCTCCTCTGAGCACCCTCACCAACCAGCTCTCTCTACTCAAAGCTTGTAACCATGCTGCTTTCCCAGC